GGGAGACCCTGCTGGCTCCTGACCCTCGAGGACCCTCGAGCCGCAGAGGCGCGCGCCCCACGCGGCACCCCTCGCGGCGCTGTGCTTTCCTCGCCGCGCATACCCGCGCGAGCTGTGCATCTAAGCCGGGCGCTGCGTTCGCAGTCACTGGGGGAACCGCGGCCGTGGCGGACACTGCCCGCAGCGGGTGCCCTGGCGCGCTGTCGCTGGAGCAGGGGGTGAAGGCTGAGGATGGGCGGAGTGCTGCGTCTCGCGGACTCCGGAGTTTTTGGCTTGTAGGAGTGGTCCGTTGAGCGGGTGGAAGGCGCTAAACCGGTGAAAGCTGGGGAAAATGCACTCGTTCGACAAACAAGAGCATGGTCTAGGTGGAGAGTTTGCACTATTCTTGCAGATACTATCAGATATCGCCGGTGAGGTGGTGCGGGGTGGCCGGCAGCTGGAATCCCAGCCCTGCAGGAGGCTGAGGTGGGAGGACCACTTAAGGTCAGGAGTTCAAGACCAACTTTGGCTACAAAGTGAGACATTGTCTCTACAAAGAAGCAGAAAAATGAACCAGGTGTGGTAGCTCCTGCTGGCCGTTCCAGCTGCGCAGAAGGCTGAGGCTCGTTTGAGCCCAGGACTTCGAGGCTGCAGTGATCTGTGATTGTGCCACTGCACTCCAGCCTTGGCGGCAGAGGGAACCCTGTCTCAAAGATAAAATACGACACCAAAAGTTGCCTACACTTAACATCTGTGTAATCAGAATGGAACAGAGTTGAGGGTTGCTTCTTAGGAATTACTGTTTTTAAGAAATAAATCCTCATAGTGACCTAAGAAGTATATATTTTCCATTAACCTTGGAAAAATCGATGATGAACTCTTTTGGGGTGGGGCAAGGTCTGGCTGTATTGCCCACACTGGGGTTGACCTGGGCTCAGCCAGTCCTCCTGGCTCTGCCTCCCAGGTGGCTGCTGTGCTAGTGTTTCCTAAAAGCTCCTGTTTAATGTCTTTGTAGCATCTCCTCATTTTTTGAACTGCTCAATGAGTAAGGAAGTATAAATATAATTTCTCTGTGTAGAAGCCCTTGGAACTCAAGGAGCCCTGCTTTTGCTGGCACTTGTAAAAGCCTGAGCCATCTTCTCTGGCTTGAAACACTTCTGATGTCAGCGCCTGTCAGTGCCAGGCAGTGTGTTTAAGTGCGAAGCTTTTAAGGGTGGAAAAGCAGTGTCTGAGGGTGTTATCAGGAAAACTTGTGGGGAAGAAATAAGATGGAGTTAGACACCCAAGAAGAAACGGGCTTTTATTTATTTATTTATTTTTTGAGTTGAAGTCTCACTCTGTTGCCCAGACTGGAGTGCAGTGGCCGCTCCTGGCCACCGCAGCCTTGACCTGCTGGGCTCTGGCGATCCTTCCGCCTCAGCCTTCTGAGTAGCCGGAATTACAGGCATGCGCTACCACCCCTGGCTGATTTTTTGATTTATTGTAGAGATGAGGTCTCGCTGCCCAGACGGGTCTCGAACCCGCGGGCTCAGGCAATCCACGCACCTCAGTCTCCCAAAGGCGCGGGATTACAGGCTGAGCCACCGAGCCCGGCTGAAACGGGCTTTTAATTGAGAAAATGGGAGGTGGTTAGATTGGCCAAAGCTACAGAGTCAGGAAAATCAAATTGTGTACCTGTCTTATTGTGCTTTTTAATACTTGACCATAATACGCTTTGTGGTGGTATTTGCATTTATAGATGAGGAAAAGGTAAGAGCTGGGGGTCCTGGGGAGTACAGTTGGTATATGGGAACTGATACATGGTAGATTTAAGTGATCCATGTTGGATTTACGTATGGTTCCAGTCCTTGAAGATGCTCTTATCCTCTCCAGTTTTCTGATTGTAATAAAATTTGAGGCAGTTTTATTATACCTCTTGAGGCATTCCAGTCACCAAAAGTTGGGTTTTTCTTAATTATCATGGAAGATTTCACACATACTCAGAGTTGAAAGAAATGTCATGAACTCTTGTGAGCTCATCGCATGTCTTCAATAATTATAAAGTGTGGTTCTTAAGTCTGCTGTTGACACTCGTTAATCTTGGTTCCATTTCTCCTTTCATGAAAAAACGCTGTGGATATCCACTGGCTGTGCTCTGCTTGTTAACCTGAAGCTGGTATTCTGTATGATTTGTAGTCAAGTACAAGCAATTATTTGACTCTCTTTTTTGTTTTTTTTTTTTGAGTTGGAGTCTCACTCTGTCTCCCAGACTGGAGTGCAGTGGCCGCTCCCGGCCACCGCAGCCTCTACCTGCTGGGCTCCGGCGATCCTTCCGCCTCAGCCTTCCAAGTAGCTGGAACTATAGGCGCATGCTACCACACCTGGCTAATTTTTTGATTTATTGTAGAGATAGAGGTCTCGCTGCCCAGGCGGGTCTCGAACCCGCGGGCTCAGGCAATCCACTCACCTCAGCCTCCCAAAGGCGCGGGATTACAGGCTGAGCCACCGAGCCCGGCTTTATTTGACTCTCGTAACAGTTAAGTCTTCTGAGAGTGAAGTCACGTTCATTGAGTTAGGGCTCTTGGCTGAGGCTTCCTCAGACCAGAACACCCAGACTCCTGCTTGTACCCTTAGAACAACATTGCCCCACAGAAGTATGATGGAGGCCACGTATTTTATTTAGCACAGCATATCCAAAGTCTTACTTTTAATATAAAACTGCTTGCAATACTTTACATTCTTTGTTCCAAGTTTTCAAGACCAAGGATTTTACATGGAAAACACATGTCAATTCAGACTACCTATATTTCAGGTACTCAGTAATCACATGTTCAGCCTTATTAGATCGCATAGCTAGGGGTCCCACAGAGGGTTCACATTCTCTGTGCCTGCATACATCTTTTGAAGTGTCATGAGAGAGCCATGGAGAAGATAGACTTTTTTTTGAGTCAGGATCTCACTCTTGTTGTCCAGGCTGGGGTACAGTGGCAGGGTCATAGCTTACCATGGCTTCCAGCTCCTGGGGCTCAAGTGATCCTCCTGCGTCAGTCTTCCGAGTAGCTGGGATTACAAGCTTGTGCTACCATGCCTGGCTAATTTTTTAAATTTTTGTAGAGAAGAAAGAGGTCTCACTACTGTGTTGCCCAGGCTGGTCTCGAACTCCTGGCCTCAAGTGATCCTCCCATCAGGATCCAGATTTTCTTTAAAACTATCTGGTCTCTATCTGTCCTCTTCTCAGTCTGTTGCCCAGGTGGAAGTGCAGTAACAGGATTACGATTCACTGCAGCCTCAGCCTCTCAAGTAGCTGGGACTGAGTGCCGCCATACATGGCTAATTTTTTATTATTTTTTGTAGAGACAGGGTTTGACTATGTTGCGCAAACTGGTCTTGAATTCCTGGGACCTCAACCAGTTTTTCCCGCCTTAGCTTTCCTGAGTACTGGGATTACAGGCATAAGCCATGGTGCCTAACTAGGTCTCTTAAAGATTTCCAGTTGATTGCTTCTTTGTTTCTCATAGGGAAGTAGCAGAGCTTTATTTCAGATGAGTGTTACTTGTTAACTCTGAGTATTAATGGAGTGGTGAATTGAGCTGCACTTTTGTCTGTCAAGTGAATTTTCTATGGGTAATGATTATTAGCATATATGTATTAGGAAATCAATGAGGAAATTTAGTAAGGAACAGTATGTAGTAGTTTGTGATGCTATCCTTAATGATGGTGTGTTTTTGTTTTGTTTTTAAGATTGCAGCAAAAATTGGAGGTGATGCTGGGACATCACTGAATTCAAATGACTATGGTTATGGGGGACAAAAAAGGCCTTTAGAAGACGGAGGTAAGTTACAGTCATCAGTATTTTGTTACTCAGTGTTTCGTTGAAGTGATTTTTAGTATTTTTCTAATGTTTTATCGAGACCTTTATTAATAAGGTTTCTGAAATTGTAAGGTTTATATTGGCCTAAAAGTGGGGGTTGGGGAGAGCTAGACCAGGTAGGTAACATTTGAGTCAATGAGAACATTTGTCTTATTAGAAAACAGTTTTCCTTCTTTTAGGATTGTGCCTGATTGACAGCTTGCACAGACATCTTGTTAATAATATTAAAGAAACAAATATAATTGTTAGGAGACTCTTCACTGGTTTTTCTCATACATGAATGAATCTTTACATGCTGTGTTTTTATTATTGTGCTGTTTCAGATTATACTTTAAAGGTTGAAGTTGCAATCGTTTATTACTCTAGTGTGTTGCCAGGGTTTTGTTTTGTTTTTTTAATGTTATTTCTTTGTTTTGTTTTAGTTTTTTGTCTTGTGTTCCAGGTTTAACTTTAAATATTTGGACTAAAACAGTGGGTTTATAGTGCTTGGTATTTTTTTTTAAAAAAACATAAATTGTTGAAGCGTCTGCACTTAGAAGTCTACATATTTTTTGTTTTAGGTTGTGATGTATAATTCTGATAAATTTTCTTTTTGCCCCTTTTGGGGATTCCCACTGAGCCCATAGAATGTATTTGTAGCTTTTGACCAGGAGAACTTGGTTTCTTTTTATTTACATGTCTTTCATATTTGTAGTGAGGTTTTTAATATACAAAAAAAAAATGAGCTAATGATGCTTCAGATGTTGTATGTAATGTATTCTTTTTATTTTATGTGTAGATGGCTCTTGGACAAGTCCGAGCAGTACAACACACTGGGAGGGAATGCCCTCTCCTTTTAAAGGCAGGACTTTTTATTTATTACCTGTGTTTAGTATATAAACTGAAATAAACCAGTGGATTCGTAAATGGACACAAATATTTCTTGAATTATGTGTCTGAATTTTTGTTGCACAGCATTTTGATGTTTAATCATTTAAGTTTGCAGGGGGGAGGAGACTAGTATTTTCAGCTATAGGTTGTCTGTTCCAAGCTATGCATTGTTTTCATCTGTATAATGGATTTAGATGAAAGTAGTCATGTAGTTGCTTTGAGTATTTTATTTTCTTTTCTGAAGTTTTATACCGTGAAGTGTTTGTTTAGGAGTAACACCAGTTTAGGTTGAGGTTGCCTTATAATGTGTTTTTTTTCTTTCATTTTGTTTTTTGGTGTAGCTTTGTGGTCACTGTCAAATACACTCAAATTTGTTATGTTAGATTTCATATTTTGATAGGTTTTTCCCCCCAGTCTTCAGTTCCTGCAGTGGAAGCATCATTAGCTTTAGTCTGTGGTGTTTTGCTAGTAACGAGACCTATTTTGTCTTGTATCATTCTAAAGTGTTTAACATTCACTAAGGTCAGTGATATGCTACAAAGAAACTTATTTTAAATGTCTGTGCATCTTTTAAACATGAAGAAAATGAAATGTAGTTTTCTCCTTTAGATTACTGAGTTGGGGTTGGGTTTTGGCATTTTTGGTTCAGATGATAAACTATACCTTTAAATATTTCAGTAAATGTGATATTGATATTCTTGCTTGGGCGGGCGGAACCTTTGTGCTTATTGGCAAAAAATAAAAATAAAAAATACTTAATCTTGCAGATCAACCAGATGCTAAGAAAGTTGCTCCTCAGAATGACTGTAAGTATTTATTATAAACTGGGTCGAAAGTTAAAGTAGCTGAATTTTTATCATTAACGTTTTGTTTCTATTTTTGGTGGGTATCTTTGAAGTTAGTTGGTTTATGAGTATTCTTTTAGATTGTGTAGCGAATTTCTTTGTAATATATACATTTTTCTCTTATTTTACTATCTTTCACATTAATTATGGCCAAGCATATATAAAGATCAGTTGTCCAGTTATTTTATATATCCGTTTTATTTATTCCAATTTTTTTTTCCATTTATATGACATTTTATACAAGATAAAACTAAAGAGACAGAAAACGATGATTGCTGGGGGCTGGTGGCAACAAGAAAGGGACATGAAGGAATTGTTTGAGAAAATGAAATTGTTATATGTATGTGTGTATGTATATTTTAATTTGAGATTCAGAGGGTGCACATGTGACATGGACATACCGTAGAGTGGTGGGGATTGGGTCTCAGGTGGCCTGTTCCAGATAGTTATGTGAGATTTATTGTACCCCGTAGAGAGTTTCCGAAACCTGCCCCCCCCCTTAGTGTCCCCAGTGTCTATTACTTCATCCTGGTGACCCTTCAGTTCATGGAAGAGTGACAGCATGTGGTATTTGGCTTCCTGTGTCTGAACTCCAATTTTCAATCTATGCTTGTACCACTTAAAAAAGGATTGTGTTTTCTCTGTGCCATTGTTAATATATGCTCTTTCAGTGACTTGCTACTGTCAATGCTGATGTAGTCTGTATAAAATCTTACTGTCTTCAAGGTGTTGTCTGTGCATCAGGGAAAGGTTTTTTTTTTATTTGGGGTTCAAGTGGGATTGACTACTACTAAAGTAGCCTGCATGCCGGTGAAGTGTGGGCTTCTAACTGGTCCTCTCTCCCCCGGTAGTGGACCAGGTACCCAGCGTGTTGCCTGGTGTCCTTCCTCCCTGCCTCCTCAGCAGCTGTGTGACTAGTGTTCAGGGCCCGCTGATGGGTGAGAACATGTGGTGTTCAGCTCCTTGTTTCTATGATAGTTCGCTTCGTATGATGGTCTTCTGCTACATCCAAGTTACTGTGAAGACTGGTTTTTTGTTCTTTATGGCTGCAACATACTCCATTGTGTATATGTAACGCATGTTCATCATCCTGCCCACTTTTGTTGGGCATCTAGGTTGGTTTCATGTTTTTGCTATTGCAAATAGTGCTGCAATAAACGTGTGTGCAGCTGCCTTTTTTTGTAAAGTGATTTATGTTTCTCTGGGTACATTCCCAGAGGAGGATTGCTGGATCCTATGGAAGCTCTATTCTTTAGTTCTTTGAGGAATTACCATACTGCTTTCCATAGAGGTTGAACTAGTTAACATTCCCACCAACAGTGTAGAAGCCTCCCCTTTTCTCTGTAGCCACACTAGCACCTATTATTTTTGAACTTACTCAAGGTATCCATCTTTACCAATGTAAGGTAGCATCTTGCTGTGGTTTTAGTCTCCATTTCTCTGGTGATTAGTGAGACTGAGCATCTTTTTTCATGTGTTTATTGGCTGCTTGTATATCCTCCTTTGAGAAGTGTCTGTTCATGCCGTTTGCTCAATTTTTAATGGATTTGTTTTTTTCTTTTCAATTTATTTAAGTTCCTTAAGAACCCCAGAGGTGAGAGGCCTTTGTCTGAATGATAGCTTGTAAATATTTTTCCCATTCCATGGGTTGTCTGTTTACTCTTTCAATGGTTTCTTTTGCTGTGCAAAAACTTTTCAGTTTGATAAAAATCCCATGTGTCTGTCGTAGCTTTTGTTGCAGTTACTTTAGAAGACTTGATCATGAATTCATTGTTTACTCTGATATCCAGAAGAGTGTTCTGTACATTTTCTTCTGAGAGTCTTGTAGTTTGAGGTTTTACCTTTGAGTCCTTGATCCATTTTGAGTTGACTTTTGTATATGGTGATAGGTAGGGGTCTGGTCCCATTCCTCTGCCTGCAGCTAGCCAGTTTGCAGGGAGATGTTAGGATGCTTAATGTGATTATGTTGTTAAATGTATAAGTAAACTTAAATTTTGAATTTTCATTTAATTTTTTTGGTAGCTTTTGGAACACAGTTACCACCAATGCATCAACAGCAAAGGTACAGTCAAAAGCTTTTCAAAAACTACTTTGTAAGTTTCAGTTGAGCTGTATGTACAGACCCAACCAAGTTCATGTATAGTGAATATGTGTCTGCATGTGTTTTTTTTATTTGTAGTTCATTTCCCTCCACTTGAGGTCGCATAAAATCATCATTTTTCTTTTTTGAGTAAGATACATTTGTAATTTGGAAGGACAGGTAGAATTAGCTACATTTTGGAAAAACTAGGATGAATAGAATACATGGAGGAAACCCCCAAAAAACGGAATTTATTTATAAAAACTTGTGTATTCTTACTTGTGTAAATCTTATTCACCTGCAAAGTATTTTACGTTGGATGCAACATATTTATGGAGATGCTTTTTTCACTGCTCACAACAGTTCTTGAACCTGTCAATTTTGATGCCTTTTAGTGCTTCTGCCAATTTTTGTTTCACCTCTTCCCCATCAGCAAAATGTTTCCCTTTAAGGACTTTTTCATCAGGGGAACTTTAAAAAGTCACTTGGTAAGATTAGGTGAAGAGGAAGGATGGGAATCATACTGGTTTGGGTCAGAAACCACTGAAAACTCAGTGCAGTGCTGACAGGTATGTTGTCACTGTGGAGGAATCAGTCACCTGTCTTCTGCACATCGGTAACACAGCCTTCTCAGAGCTTCCAGATAAAAACTTTGGTGGACAAATTCCAAGTGTCCTACGAGGGGCACTGCCTCCAAAAGTTAATTCCATCTTTTTTGGGGTCCCCCCTGTAAGTGTTACAGTGACATTCCCTGAACTCCACCTCATTTGCAGCTCATGCCTTCAGGCTATTCCTTTCATTGACCCTTCCTCACTTGATGTGTGTGTAACCTTACGATTCCTGGTTTAACTACTTGAGTAGTAAGGCGTTTTTTGTTTTTTGTTTTTCCCAAGGATATTAAATGTCCATTGGGAGACATTAGGCTTCCATTAGTACTAGTAAATTATCTTTTATATGTAAACAAGTTATCTTTCTTTGAAGGAAAATGTTTCTATTTTTCTTAGCAGGTCTGTAATGACAGAAGAATACAAAGTTCCAGATGGAATGGTTGGATTTAGTAAGTAATCTAGTTTTTAAAGTTTTAAAACATAATCAAAACATATTTTATAATCTTCTAACCTTTTTTTTTTTTTTTTTTTTTTTACTAGTAATTGGCAGAGGAGGGGAACAAATCTCACGCATACAACAGGAATCTGGATGCAAAATACAGATAGCTCCTGGTAACATTATTCTCTTGGTATTTTCAAAGTGACTAGAAAATTAACATTTTTCAAGTTTCTAGTAATAATATGCTACCCATTAATCTTTGGAACTAAAGAGCTTTTTGTTTTAATTGTAGACAGTGGTGGTCTTCCAGAAAGGTCCTGTATGTTAACTGGAACACCTGAATCTGTCCAGTAAGTTTGAAAATCTTTAAAATCAACTTACAGTAATAATATGGGAACTCTTCCCATTTTGTTTCTCTTCTTCATTACTGCTGTATTTTGTTTGTTGGTTGGCTTTTTTTTTTGGAGTCTCACTGCCACCCAGGCTAGAGTGCAGTGACAATCGTTAAGTCACAGCAGCCTTGACTGTTCAAGCGATCCTCCCACCTCAGCATCCTGAGTAGCTGGGACCTTAGGTGTGCACCACCACACCTGGCTAATCTTTTTATTTCTTGTAGAGGTGAGGTATCGCTGTGTTGCCAAGGCTGGTTTTGAGCTCCTGAGCTCAAGCAGTCCTCTCATCTTGGCCTCCCAAAGTGCTGGTATTACAGGCATGAACCACAATGCCCGGCCCTACAAAAATTTAAAAATCAGCATGTACTTGTAGTTCCAGCTGTTTAGGGGGCTGAGACAGGAGGATCACTTGAGCCCAGGAGTTAGAGGCTATTATAACTTTATGTAATGTATATTTTATATATTTTTAAATGTTGATTTTCGGCCGTAATCTTTCTCCTGCTTGGTCACTATCTCGGTTTGAATGTTCATTAAACATCTTCAAACTCAGATGATTAAAGATGCAGTCCTTGATTGTCACTCATCCTCAGGCTGCACTCTTTTACTCATCTTATTCCTCTCCTCTTCATACATGGACAACCTGTCTTCGTGCCCCATTTATCATAAGCAACTTGTGGCCATTTTTCTTTGATAATTTATTCAGAATCCAGCTTCCTCTTGCCTCTTCTCTGCCTGAGTTCATGGCACCATTTGCCTGTATTATTGGAGCATGTCTTCATTTTTTTTTTTATAATCAATATTTTTTATTATGATATTGTGGGGTACAGTTAAGGGTTAGGTATACAAATATGCTTCGTTCAGGCACTCTTGTT